TTGTTACTACTAGTAAGGCACCTGTTACTACTAGTAAGGCACTTGTTCCTAGTAGCGATGCTTATTCAATTTCATCCTGGAGATATGTCGGGTAGACCCTAATTTGTCGCTCCAGTGGATCTTCATCGTCCTACAGCACTGGAGTTGCACCGAACACTTGCGCCAGGATACCTGCAGGCTGGACGGATGGGGGGGCTATGGTAGTATATTCTCGTGACAAACCTTCTATATCCAAACTTCAAGCTTCCATATCCGAAGGAGTTGACGAACTTTGTGTCCATGTCCCAAGGGTTCTTTTTCGCAGAAATCTCAGGGACCGTTCAGTACACGAGGCACCGGACCCTTCACGTTTTTGTTGGACGTCGTGACCCGAAAACAGTTTCTGAATAGACTAAAACTGCAGACCTGGTGATCCTGAAGACCCCAAGTTACTGCAAAAGACGTGGATGAAAAAACATGGCCTGTTGAGAAAGGCAACACCTGTGAGTTGTGGCGGCTTGTGGTGGTCAATGGCGAACTCTTCTTGAAATCAGAAGCTTCTTCGTGTTCTTTTGGTTCAATACATCATATCGGTGTGCAGGCAGTTGTGCTTGATTGCACATCTTCGGAAAAGGGGCGGAAAAAACCACCCGTCAATTCTCAGGTGCCACTTGTCTTCCATCGCGGGATGGGTCGGTCTCTGCACGGTTTTCATCCGCGGCGCTTCCTTGGACTCGCGCGGATGTCGTGCTCGGTCCGCCCGGCGAAACCCTTCGTGTCGGTTAGGGTCTTCTCGGAGCTGCAGATCGGTATAGGTCATATTTTGGTTTTTGACGCGATTTGAAGGGGGTGGTGTCTGGACCCTGGTTGGGGTGATAGACACCCTGTATACCACCAAGCAAGGCACCCCTCTTTGGGCTTCGTACAAAAGCATACTAAAGATGTAGATAATAAATATAGAAACACCCATTGCTGCTAGTAGCTTCTTGTTACTAGTAGTAATGGCCTCCAACCTAATAATTGACCGTGCGTAGCTTCTAGCTACTAGGTCTAGAGGTCTAGATGTTCGCGGTTTCTTCAAGAAGCCACCCTTTGGGACTTTGGGGATCTCCACTAAAAACGCCCACCGCTGCGAGTTGTCCTTCACACCATTGGGAGGGTTTCGTCTTCCATACCCTGTCAGTGGAGAACGGACCACTCCGAGTGATTCACATGGAAGTGGTGCGTTTTCCATGAAGGAGGGAAACCTCTGGCGACGATGATCGTCATCCTTCACCCGTTCCGTTCCCGGTCCCCCGTTTGCGGCCGTCTGACCGACCTCAGGCCGCCCGAAAAACGGTTTTCAGGTGGGAGCGGCACCGGGGGGTGGACGTGGAAGGCTCTTTTTCGAGTGGGTTGTAGAGGTCTCAAAGAATCAAAGGATCTGTTTTGGAGGCGGAGCTGCAAACTCAGAACTAGTTCTTTTTCAACATCCAGTCGATCCAAATGGAATCTTCTTCAAGGATATGATGGAAAAGTTTGGAAGACGTTCTGTCTAAAGCCTAAGAGGTTACAAAGCTCATCAAGTACTCTGATTTGTCGCTGCTTCTTTCCAAAAACTTTAGATACTCCTGGTCTCTATCTACGCAGTAGCTTCAAACAAGCAAGAGTATTCCTGGAAGCACTTGGACAGGTTCTTTGTTCCACAAAGGGTCTTAAGGAAACGTGCCCAGAATCCTAAGGGAGAAACCAACACATCGAGATGTGTAAAGAGATGTTTCATGTTGATATCCTAACCTTTCAATCATCATGCATTTTCTGGTTCCTGTGTCCTGTTTTGGTTTGGTAACGCGGGAACACAGAGCACGACCAATGGAACGCCATCAATGGGCGGACGTTCTTCAGGGCTTCTGGCAGAGAGCAGCTCATGTTGAGGCCAAGAGGAAGCCTCCACCTTTCGATTGGCCCAGTGGATCTTTCGTGGATCTTTCTGATCGAAACGGCACAGTGAGGATGATCTGTCTTGAGGGAAGCCGACTGGTTTAGAACATGTTTTGTTGGGACTCACCTGTAGTTGGTGGGACGAGCTCATTGTTGGGACATCTCTTGGGTTGCCAAGAGCAGAACATCGAGAGGGTGGAGGGAGCGGTCGCGGTCGGGCATGGGTCTTTGAAAAGGAAACGGTCTCAAACTTTCTCACTTGGTGGCTAGTTGGATGGGAGTTGTCCACCAGCATAACGGATCAAATTAAAGGGCATGTCATGTTTTTCTCCCAAGAAATCCAACTGGCCATGTGCAGGACTCCAGCTATGGGCCAGTAAGGCGAGGGCCAGCAACTGGGTGGGGCAAGCGTACGAGCCTTGTCGATTTAAAGGTCTGGTTGGTCCTCTCTGGTCGGTTAGTCCACCTACCCAGTCAGTGGGGTAGTCCTGCCCAACCAATCGGAGGGGGAGAAGTGGGACGCCCCTTCCGAAAACCCCCCTTCTACCCTTCTGAGATGGAGATCATGTGGTGGAAACACCGAGAGCTGTTCCAGGGATCTACGGACGCCTCGGTCCGTCCGAAAGACGGGTTCGGTCAATGCAGCTGCTTTCCAATCGACAAAGCACGTTCCAACCGAGAGCGATCGAAGATGGCTTAGGGCTTAGGGGCAATGGTCCGACAGTGCATGACCTGCAGGGATTGGCTTCCAGCATTTGCATCAGGGCTATATATAGTTAGATATACACACATGAGTCATGAGTGGGAAGTGTTCTAGTTTTACAATATCGATGGTGCATGATGTTCGATTCACAAATCATTCCTTATATATACATAGTTGGCCAAGCTTGGAGTCCATGTTCATACACTTTGGGCTTCATGTTGCTGTGTCTTAAGTCAAGATGTCTCAAGCTTCGGGACCTTTTTTTGGAAGCATTGAACTGATACTCCCATGCCGTCATGGTTGGGCATTCTTTTTGCTCAGGCTACGTCGTAGGACTCCTCCTATCCGGGTCCAGTCACATAAAAGCAATACTCAATGCGGTCGGAACCGATTTGACTTGCTTCTTTGGTACCCACAGGGTATCAAAGAAGCCAAAAGAAGCTATCACTTTCCTTAGGGCCCTACCCAGGAAAAGTGGATAACCTTTAACATCCTTTAGGGATTGGTTTTCCCACGAAACAAGATCTATTCAGTTGAATGAGACTGTGATTGGGGAATATATGCATGAACCATGCGGATGCTGTACTAGCTTGAGAGGGTGAAGAGATCCTGGTAGTTAGGATAGTTACTTGATGTTACTTGTAGGTGGAGTAGCTGTATGTAATCATGACACGAATTCACTAGGTTTCATCAAGTCAGCTTACGAGACCCCGGAGGAACCAACGCAGAATCCTTCCCCAAAAACTCGTTCCAACGAGGGCCCTTTGCGGACTCGTCCGGTCGAGATTGGTCAGGACTTCCCCAAAGGCGCGGCGTTTAGCGCGATCGATTCCGGGAAGGTGGGCATTTCTCCATCGGGTCGCCCAGCCTCAACAGAGGGGTCGTTTCTGGGTTTCACCCCGCGGAAGGTGGGCATGTCTCCCCAAAAAACCCGCTCGTTTCCCGGGAAACTGCTTGTTCTCTTACATGCGTGGGTGCGAGACCGACGGTCGAGACAGACGGCGGGATCGACTGGACGTGAAGGTCGATCCTCGTCCAGGTGAGTTCGGCTTGGAGCCGCCCTTTGGCGTGGCATCACGAAAAATTCATTTAAAAACACGGCGAATAAGACACTGTTTCAGGTGTATGCTGGAAGGGACAAGAGACGAAAGGTACGGGTGAAGTCTATATCTTTCACTCTGCATCTCATTGCATTTCACTATTAACATCTATCTATAGTGGTGGATTTGTTTGTGTGTTCTTGGCTTATCTTGTGGCAATATGTTGATGATATGTGTTTCTGGCTGCCGCCAGAACCGGAACACCCCCATGAGACTCACGAGACGCACAGGATCGCCGACTTCCGATTTGCCGGCACTTCCTGCTGGGGAAGCCGAAATCTCAGAGAAAGTTGGAGGGCTGGGGTTCCTGAACATTTTGTGTGATAGATTCTGACAGATGTCTTTAAAATTCCTATAAAAATCTTAGATGAGTCTTGAAATGTTTCGCTTGACTCTAAACAAGGGCCCGGACCAAGAGGTCAGAGAGCTTCCCCATCAGGGAAGGCAATCACCGCGGCAGCGGCACCCGTCGAAGAGGGAGGTGGTGCAGGATCGGCTCTGTGCTCAAGATGGATTGGTTCATAGGCTTGGAATCCCTCGCTGCCAAGCCTTCCTGTAGAGACGTCGTCGTAAGCTTTCGAAGCTTGCAGGATTCTTTCTAGAGGCAACATCGCTGTTGACATCTATTGGAAGAAAGCCCTTCCAAGAGAGGTTCAGCCACCTGAATAAGGACCCATAACCTGGGTGGTCTATAGGGATAGTCTATATACGCAGGCTTCTTCAACCCCTGTTGGTTGCACATGCTTCCGATGTTTCTGCGAGTCCTCTCAGCATGGAGTCGGACTCGCCCCGCTGAGCAAGAGGGAGCACCTTCTTGCTGCCACCAGCAAAGCTCCGGCTGAGGCAAGTGTTGAGGAGTATGAAATCTGTGGTCCATCAAATCCAGCACTAAATCTGGTAAAGTGAGTAAAGCTCCTGGGTCATGTCTTCCATTTTGGTGTCTTTTTCCCTTGATCCTCGTTCCTCTTCATGGATAAGCGTCGCTTGTTCTGGCACAAGTGGTCGCAAGTGGTCGACGACTCCTCGGGGCCCGAGCAACGCAGGCATGGGCATCCTGGATGGCATAGTCCGACTCCTTTCGGCTGGATGAAGAGGAGGACGAGGATGAGGATGAGGAGGATGAGAACGAGGAGGAGGACGAGGATGAGGATCACTCCACCCAACTTCCCTTGGGTTTTCAGATCGCCAGACACCCTCAGCATCTGGCGTGCCCAGCTTTCCACCCGCTGGCCATCGGACGCACCGACCCGGCAAGCCATGTAAGGTGTACCTTTGGGAACACCTGCGGCTTTCGGCACGAGGACGGGAGTTGGGGGTTCGGGTGATCAGCCGGGTGCGCGTGGTTTTGGAGGAATCAGATCAGGAGGAATCAGAACGTCCAAATCCGACAAAACCTTGTGTCACTTGGTTTCAGAGGTTCAACCATCCGATTTCTACGAGTCTATTCCTGTCACAGAATTCGGGGGTTGCTTTCCTTAGAACTGAACAGCTGGAGTTTCCAACTCAAAGTGTTTCTGTGTCGCTGTTTTTCATCCGGTGCGCTCAGGAGGAGACCGTGCGGCTTGAGCGGCCCGAGCCAGGCGTTTCTGGAACACAGGGCCTGTGGGAGACAGTTGACAACGCAGGGGACAGGGGAGGGTATAGAAGACAGAGCCAGCATTGGTTTTGCATGCGAGACAACAAAGACACCCACCCACGCACGCACGCACTGCACGCACTGCACGCACTGCACGCACTGCACGCACCGCACGCATTTCGCCCCAGCTTTCCACACTGTGGCCTTGGCTGCCCGTGAGTGCATTGTTGACAAGCTGTTGCCACATCATTCACCCAAGCATGAATCCCAAAACGCGCAGAAGACACGATCCGATCGAGACTTGACTTCCAAGAAACGATTTGACAAGAGACCTGATCTTACTTGTCTCTTCCAAGCAACTGGACTGTATTCTTACAAGATGAAGACCTGAGTGAAGATCTGATACTCCTTGGAGATGCGCAGAACATAGCGGCGCGGTCCGGCCCTCACTTCGTCGGCGCTGGCGAATTGGGTGATTGGAAGAACGGAGTGGAATTCCCACAAGAGGAAGGTTCGGTGGTTTTTTGTGGCTGTCCTTCGTCCCAAAAGAATTCTTGGAATTTGGGGCTTGGAGCCGCACTTGGGTGGTACAGCTCTGGCATGGCATGATCGGAGGTCACCAATTGAGACCTTTAGCGGTTCCCAAGAACCCCCCCTTTAGGAGATCTGTAGAGTCGGGAGCTGGTAGATGATGTTTTTGATTTCTGCTCAGCCAGGTGTCGGGCCATCCGACACGAGGCGGTGGGATCGGTGTGACATCGAAGGAGGCTTTGAGTAAATGAGTTAGGTCCCCTGGCCCCATGGGTTGTGGTCGATGTTCAGACTTCATCATACTTCTATATGGGGGGTCGAACTGGGAGGTCTCCCTATTTTCACACCAAAATACCACGCAGAGGTGGTTCCTGATCAATCCTGATTGAAGTTCTTGTTGAACTCGGTAGTTCAAGAGGTCAAAGAGTCTTGTCAGTCGCACATGTCCGGGTCAGGAAAGCAGCCAAGATGTTCCATTCATCGTTGGGTCAAAAGCCAGAGAATGGAAAGCCACACATTCAGTAAATACTGCAAAAGTACCAATTTGCTGTTCAATTGGTTCCACACGAAGGTTGCTTCGCATCTCCTAGTTCATGGAGTTGTCAGGTGTTATGTCAGGTTCCTGAGAGGTTTTGTGGAACACAGCTTTCCCATGCTTTAGCACCGATCCACCCCGATTCCATCAATTCGCAGAAAATGAGTTTCTCAGACAGACATGGACCTGTTCCGTTACAATAATTTGAGCACAGATCCATCGAGTAACATCGACCTTCTTTCTCAACTCCACGCTGAGTTGCCATGGCATTTGCAGTGGGATATCTGGAAATGAGGCTAACACAGCATGAACTCTGGGCAAACGATTGGTCATAGAGATGCGTTTGCAAAGCAATTCCCGTTCGATCGAACGGGTTTTCTCCGGTTCAACGCCGAGCAAACGTGCATCGACCGGTGGGATGTGTTTTCCCCCCCACGTTGAAACGTGGGTTTCCGGGTCTGTCGGTAGAATTGTTGAAGTCTAGTCTTACAATGTTCCAACTCAGCAGACCTCTGATGTGGAAGAGAATGGGTCGCCTTTGGTTTTGGAATGTTTTGGATCCCTGGAATGCTCGAGCCAGCAGGCCCGTTTGTCGACACTGCAATCGGGAAATGCACCTACGGAAATGAATGTAATTTCGCACATCCCATTTTAGCATAGAAAATATACCTTTACATATGGATTAATTGATATTATATTATTATTTTTTTTATATATTAATATTTCGCATATTGGTTATATGAACAACGATTAAAATTTATTATGAAATTATAGATTATTAGAATTGGATAAAGATATTTAGATATTTAATATATATGTATTAAATAAATAAAACAAAAATAATTGAATTTTATTAATTTAATAATTATTATATAATTAATATAATTTATAATCTATTTTAAATATTATAATATATGGATTAAAGAACGATAATATAATTAGTTTAATTATATTTGATGTTGGATTTTTAAAATATATTTATTCGATTCTAATTATATATGGTGAAAGATTTAAAACAATAATTTCTATATAATAATAAACCGATATTTATATAATTATTATTTATTTATTTATTTATTTTTGCATTATTTTTTTAAATATGAATATATTGGTATGTTGATTATATATATTGATTTGGATTTGCTTGAAGGAATTATAGCACTTAATATGTTTTTTCGATTTTCGTTGGGAGGAATTTTAATCGTTATATTTGGAATTATGGGCTATTTGGATACCATAAACGATTGAAATATTTATATATTTTATTTAATGATAGGAAGACTAATGGTTAGGAGCGCTCTGATATATTTGAATTTGGTTAGACGGAGGTTAGATTAACGTTACATTAGCAAGATTTATTGAATAAGATGAATTTAAATCGATTTTTTTTTGTGTTTGCGTAATTGGGCCGAGGCGATTTGATTCTATAGATCCTAGAAAATTATCGCTTGTGGAATTTGTAGAATTAGGTTGGGGAAATTATTAGCTCGTTTCCATAAGCATTATTTCAGGAACTTGTTTAGGCTTTGATCGATCGATTTGGGAAGCCACGCTTGGACCAAAGCGACGACGACGTGGAGAAAATTCTAGTAATGCGTGGAATCTTGACAATGGATTATCGATAGAATTGTTTAAGTTGGGATCCTAAAGTATAGGCCCTGAAACCCATCAAACGGGACCCGATCAATTCATAAGAGATTGGGCAAATTTTGCAACGCCTTGTGACATTGAGCCAACACCCATATTTGGTGCACCGTTTTGCTGCATTGCGTCCCTTGTAGCAGGACAATTTGCCGCAAGACGCGGCCACGGCCATACCGTGGAAGCTGGACATTTCGCTCCGATCCGCCGAGGCGACAGAACTCCACACCCATATTGAGCGCCTGGCAGGGAATGGCATCATTCAATTGGCCCTTCTCGGGATCAGGCCTATGGACCTTCAGAGATCTCCATTCGCCACAGCCATCTCTCACAGGCTGAAGAGGTGATTCAATGGCTACATACACATACCCTGAGTCCAATGGTGCCACGCGCTATCTCAATAGTATCCTCCAGGCACAGATGTGGGCAATGGCCATAACGGAGGCCTTCACCATGGAAGCATGGGATGCATCGTAATTGCCGTTGACCCGGTTATTGAATTGTTGCGACTCAGGGCCTTTGGATCCATGCCGGGACGACTTCCTTGGTCCGGAATTCCGTAGTTGGCTTTCTTTTCACCCCTTTCATGCCCAACACGATGCAAGGTGGATGAGAAATGCCATATTTAGAAAATCGATGAATTTCGACAAAATATCATTTCATGGATGGGAGGCACGCCTTCAGCACAGCACCGAAGATCGAAGCACCCTGCTGGCCTACATCGTACTTAGGAACATGCCCACGAATCATGTCACCTTGCAGCAGTTTGTTGACACATGGCATGACAGCAAACCGTACATCAATGCACTGTGCTCTCCAAGCCAAATGGTGTGTATACAACTGGAACGTTATTCCAATCTTGCTCACAAAAACAGTTGTGCCGTGTGCTGGCCGCGAACTCAGGTGACTCTGCCAGTCTTCATGCACACCATAGGCCTCCAGATTGAATGGATCTCACATTATGTAGTGGCCAATATGGCACACTTAGGCGAGGATCCCAATTCAGGTCATTGTCGTATAGTTTTTTCCATTCCGGCCAAATGTTGTTTGCAGATGATGTTGAGGTTCCGTGCCGCATGATTCGGATTGAGGAGTTCAACAGGAATATATACCTTCTGTGATTCGTCCCACAGACACATCGAAACCGTGTGACTTGGAGCCGCCCACTGCCGAGCTTAGCACCAGATGATATGGCATTGACAACCGATCGTTTGGCCAGCTGAGATTTTGTCGAAAATCATGACCTGACGTCTGACCATATGAGCATTAACAAGCACACCACTTGACTTGCCGCATCGGATGTGGCGCGCTGCCCCAGAGGTAGCCAGGGCACAGCTTCATGCCGTGTCCCGAAGCCCAACACGGGCGAATAGATATTTGTTGGATATTGAATGAAATGAAAAAAATGTTATCTTTATTTTTGAAATTTATTGTTTAAAAATATCGTAATTTTATTGGATGATTAAAAGTTAATTATATCTCTATTTTTGTTGAACTAAATATATTAATATAATAAGAAATATTGTCAGAAATTAATAAAATGATACATATATTTATTTTGAATTCATTATATTAGGATCTATTTGTGGATGAGATTTGAACAAATCATATGATAGCATTTGGATCACAGCCTTGATCTGTGCAATATAGATCCCTGTCGTAGCAGCGCGGAATGATCCATACAAGGGCTTTGGCTATTCCCATCTGCTCCCATATCCAAAAAATTGTCGCATTATGAAAAAAACTAGACGACGAGTGGCCCGAAAGCATTTTTCATCACGTAGGAAGTCAGAGTGTGAGTTATCTGTTAAGTGTTCAGTGTGAAGTGTTTAAGTCGAGTGAGTTGAGGTAGTGTGTGGGTCGCTATGTGTGTATCTATGTCCGTCTGTATATGAGTCTCTGTATGTGTGTGTGTCCGAATAAGTTGAGGCAAAGGGCCGCGCGATCTACGCAGAGGGCCGCGCGCGTATCGCGCCAATCGCACTCTCGCCTGCGCACCGCGTCCTAGAGTTGTATTACAAAGTCGCCACTTCTCGTTTTCCAGCTCCCCGGATATTGAGTGTGCTAAGTTTGTACTACAGAATCGTCAATTCTCATCTGGCCGTCCCCAGATACTCCGCGTACTAAAGTTGTACTACCAAGTCGCCAGTTCTCATCTTCCAGCTCCCCAGATACTCCACGTACTAAAATTGTACTACAAAGTCACCAGTTCTCATCTTCCAACTCCCCACCCCAAATACTCCGCATACTAAAGTTGTACTACAAAGTCGCCAGTTCTCATCTTCCAGCTCCACAAATTGCTCCGCGTACTAAAGTTGCACTAGAAACTCGCCAGTTCTCAGCTTCCAGCTCCACAGCTACTCCGCGTACTAAAGTTGTACTACACAGTCGCCAGTTCTCAGCTTCCAGCTCCACAGATTGTTCCGCGTACTAAAGTTGTACTACAAAGTCGTCAGTTCTCATCTTGCAGCTCAACAGATTGCTCCGCGTACTAAAGTTGTACTACAAAGTCGCTAGTTGTCATCTTCCGACTCCACAGATTGCTCCGCGTACGAAAGTTATACTACAAAGTCACCAGTTCTCATCTTCCAGCTTCCCAGATACTCCGCGTACTAAAGTTGTACTACAAAATCGCCAGTTCTCATCTTCCAGCTCCCCAAATACTCCGCGTACTAAAGTTGTACTGCCAAATCGCCAGTTCTCATCTTCCAACTCCCCACCCCAAATACTCCGCATACTAAAGTTGTACTACAAAGTCGCCAGTTCTCATCTTCCAGCTCCCCAGATACTCCGCGTACTAAAGTTGTACTACAAAGTTGCCAGTTCTCATCTTCCAGCTCCACAGATTGCTCCGCGTACTAAAGTTGTATTACAAAGTCGCCAGTTGTCATCTTCCGACTCC